TTTAATTTTACTTTCAAGTGTGGCTTAAGTGTCCAAATACTACTTAAGGCTGCTGTTGAGAGCCATACTATGTTCAATACTGTAGTATCATTCACCCCTTCTTTCGCTCCCTCATTATCTCTCTCCCTCAGCTCCGGTGGTCCTCATCAGCTCTCATTTCCCTTGACTGCTGTAGTTCTCATACTCCGGTTTTGTCCGTGGCCCGGTGAGCCTCTTCCACTCTTCCCCCCGGCCCGCCATCTGTTCTGCATCTGTCTCTTTTATCGCCTCTTCTCCCATTGGGTCCTTCCTCACCTTGTTCCCTGGCCCGCTGCTCTCCTCTTTCCCTTTAACCCCATTCCCCTCTCTGCCCTTGCTCCCTCTCATATTCTCTCTTCCGTCATTCAGGCGTTTTTAAAAAAAAAGTTTTTAAGTTGATGTCTTCTGCATCACGCACTTTTAAAACGGTCATAACTACTTTTAATGTTAATGTTTTTTGTGTCAAAACAAAACTAAACATTTTCATAATACATTATTTGCTGCTGTGCCTTTAAGAAGCACCTTCTTCCCATGTGAAATTGTGGGTTTGCTGTGTCTTTACAATCTGTCAATAACAACCTTGCTGCAAAACCTGCATTACAGTAGTGTTTACATGCATCCTAATAATCCATTAGTAATTCGATTCCAACATATAACTCAAATTTAAACCTCAGTATTACTTTCTGACTGAAAGTGGTGGTGCAGATCTTAAATATAATTTGTTAGAAGAATAATTGGCATGTAACTGATATTTTATTGCAAATTTTTATTGCGCATTTGTGTCACAGCAGTAAACTTTGCAGATGGTGTGATACACATACAAATGGATATTTTCACTGGATTGAAGATTTTAGAGTACATAAATACTGTAGTTGGACTGATGAGAATCTGTGTGTGTAACCATAGTTACTGTGATCACAAAACATCTGCACTATAATGCATCATTAAGATCAAACTGGAATTATCAGGGGCGTATTAAAAAATACTTAATCAGCTTGTTGCTAACGTTGAGATATGATTATATGATATGCAGAGTGGCAAGTGTCATGCACATGCACCTAGGAATAGCAAAATGTTTGAAAGATTTTGCCTGATTTTACTTTTATATCATAATTTCTTCTGGTATTTAGGAATAATATTATCTATCTGACTTTCTCTTTACCGGACCATAACAATTCATAGTTTTCACATGTCGAATCCTTATAGGAACGCACACTTGGAGGGAAAAACAAGGCTTCCTCTGCTGCCCACCAGTTATTTTTCCATAACTACTAAGTAATGTGCTTAGACTGTGATATTAAACATCACAAATTATTGAAATTATTGTTAATGCATACTGTGGAAGTCGTGGCCTAATGGTTGCAGAGTCAGACTCGTAACCCTAAGGTTGCGGGGTTCGAGTCTCGTACCGGCAGGGATTGTGGGTGGGGGGAGTGAATGTACAGCGCTCTCGCCCACCTTCAATACCACGACTGAGGTGCCCTTGAGCAAGGCACCGAACCCCCAACTGCTCCCCGGGCGCCGCAGCATAAATGGCTGCTCACTGCTCCGGGTGTATGTTCACTGCTGTGTGTGTGCACTTTGGATGGGTTAAATGAAGAGCACTAATTCCAAGTATGGGTCACCATACTTGGCCACATGTCACATGTCACTTCACACTGTGCCCAGAATATGAACACAATGCTGTAAATTGTATGTTAAGCATTTTACCATTAGAAAGAAAACACTTAACATGCAATAGCAGGTTGCGTTCATATGGGCTCATATACTTGCCTGTATATAGTTTGTCTTCTTTTTTTTTTTATAAATATCTCTGTCTTAGTACATTAAGCCATTTGCGGCAGGTGCAGTAAATGGATCGCAAGTCCCCAAAACGTGCAGTTTGTTCACATATCTTTGCTTTTATTCTTTTGAGAGGTGACCTAAATATTTATGGATTAAAAAAGACAGAAAATTGAGAAGCCTGTGTTGCATTTCTATGGTTGTTTTGCCCTCCAGGTCTTCGCTATGATAAGGTGATATTGATGTGCGAATGGTCATATATTGTTCCAATCATCTGTGTGACAAAGTTGCCGAAATTCAGAATGAGTAGTCTGTCTTTGCGGCTTATTTTCAAATCAATGTGTTTTGTGTTTTTTTTTTTTTTTTTTACTGAGGAGTTATAGTATATTTTCATTGTATATCAAGTTGTTTATTTCAGAAGCTCAAGGATAGTTTGATTGCTTACTGTATATTTTGCCTATTTAAATATTGTGTTGTCTTCCTGTAGTGCCAATATTACTGAATATGACTGAGGCTCCCGTGAAATCCTACTTTAGCCACTGGATGTTGTAAATCTACAGGATGGAGGTGAGGATGGTGAATAGAGTAAGAGTGAGAGAGAGGGAGATGGAGAGGTGAAGCGAGCTATTGCCCGTCAGAGAGAATGAGCCGAGACCCACCATGTTATCACTTTAGAGATGCTCATCAATTCAAATGTATTTCTGCTTCCGTCCTCTGCCATGCAGAAAACTAACTTTTCCCCTCTTTTCATTGAACAGAATTAAAGAAAAAAAAAGTAATTTACACTCTAACGTGGGAATCGATTTCCATCACGGTGGGTGGATATAGGATAGATGGAGAGGAAATGGGATTTATGCTGTAAAGTCCGATTAAAAATCATAATGATAACCTTGAATATCTCCAGATTTGCAGCGACATTCATAAATACGCAATGCTTCAGAGATGATTTATAGAGGCTTAGTTATATGAGTTTTCGCATGTTTCACTAATTGAATAGGCTTCTTCACACACGCACATACAGTAAGCCTGTGCAGCACTTGTAAAGTGAAATTGCTTTAATCGGTTAAATTAATAGTGTTTGTGGTGATGTTCCTGAGCTCTCCATGTAATCAAGCACATATATTAGTGTATGATGATGACTCATGATAGATTCTGGTTGTGTGTGTGTGTGTGTGTGTGTGTGTCTGCAGATATACACATGGATATATAGAGGTAAATTCAATTCAGATCCAGAGGAGCTGTGGTGTGTAGTCAGAGTGGGATCCAGAGAGACAGACTGAAAGGTAGAGCAAACATGGATGTGTGGGACAAAGCTTGCTGACGTGGTTGAATTGCACTGCAAAAAGTTAACTTAATCAGTATTATTGTCTTGTTGTTTTCCAATAAAAACATCTAAATGTCCTAAAAACAACATTTTTAAAATTCAATTCAAACTGAACTTTAGAATGGTACAGTAGTAACAGTAGTTGTTAATTAAGAGTTGAGAAAAATTTACTTCAATATATTTTCTAAAAATGTCTTAAGTTAAATCTATTTTTAGGGTAATTAAATGTTTTTAGGTATTTAAAAAAAGAACAAGTACGTATCAAAGAATCAAATTTTAAATTAATAATTAAAGCAAGGAGAGGTGGAAATATGTAAAAAAGCACCTTCTGTCAGGCCTCATCGACATCTATAAACACACAAGCAAAGTAAATGCAAACAAACACATTTAACATAAGAAGATATAGATTTTAATATCTTTATAAACGCTTTTTCTTATTTATTTTTTTGAACAACTCGTTAAACCATCAAATCACTAGGATGGAGAGACACAGAAGGGAGGGATGAGGGGAGACCGGATTGTGCAGTTTAGTCAGAAAATGGTGCCCTACGGACATACCAAACAAATGTGTAAACAAAACAAAATCACCCAAAAAAAAAAAATCTAATAATAATAATAATAAAAATTATAATTGCGTCCTGAAGAAAGGTTCTTCAGAGATTCAGGAACCCTGTTGTAATAAAAAATGTCATAATGATATCAGTGTCAGTACTGATTAATATTTCCATTGCAGATTGTGATGATACAGTTCTCCTTATTTTTACAAAGTGTGTCTTAGAACAGGAGGCATAGTTCTCCTGTACTCCAGTCCACAGCATCTGTGATGGCAGACTGTCTGTCATCCATAGTGTCCCGAGTGTTCACGTGATTGTCCCTCTCCTGGACTCCTATTTGCATTCACAGCAGACACTGTAGAGGCAATCAAGCAGACCTATGGCTCCAAAAGTTCTTTTTTTTTTTTTGCCATACTAAATTTGAAATGTGTTTTTTGTCATCAAGTCTCTTAAAGATACATTTAGTTTTTGTGTGTGTATTTTTTAAAGAGTTGTTTTCTTTTCTTTTCTTCTTGTCTTGTCTTGTTAAAACAGTTGATTTCACACCGCTCTAAGAAAGAGAGGTGTCTATGTTTTCAATGGCGGGCTTAAGCTGAAGGCGCTTTTCAAAATAGAGTTCACTTCAATTAGACCTGTGTCCCCTCCAGAGTCGACCCCCCATCAGCAGTCCATTTCTAAGTCCTCTGAGTCACAGCCAAACAAAACAAACAACACAGAGGACAAGAAACAAACACAACTCTAATTTTTTTCACAGCTTTTTATACTGAACACACACACACACGCACACACACACAAATGGTGTTTTTTGGAAGCAGATGAGGTAAAATGGGTCTCATTTGCTTCTATAAACAATATAGCAGCTAGTATAACCATTGGCTTTTATGTGCTGTTATAAAATAATACAATCCAAAATAAGAATGATTCACCTGAAGTCACTTTTTAGAGCAAAAGCAAAGAAAATATGAAAAATAAAAAGGAAGTTATTGAAAGGGGAAAAAGTAAAAATTAGTAATAATAAAAAAGTAAAAATAATGTTGTATTTAGGCTATAACTTTTCTGAGGTAAGGAGAATGTATGTGCTCATGTACTGGCTATTCAGTTTAGGAGGACTTTTTATAACACTTTCATTTCGTACCAACTTTCATTTCATAACACTTTTTGATTATGTTAGATAATATCCCCACAGTGAAGAAAGCAAGCCCTACCAATGATTGAAACTCCTGAACATAGGAGAACATACACTGATATATTTGTGCATCTATTTGGCAATAATGTTATCTATTTAACACCAGGCGATGTACTTATACAATTAGGAGCATCCGTTCCATTTGATAGTCTCCTATATGTTTGTTTTGTTGTTAGAAATGTTGAAGAAAAATGAAGCAGTAGGACATGCTTTCTAAACACAATCTCCATTTATGTTGCTAACTTGTGCCTCCTATTATGCATTCTTTCTACACCTTTATTTGGTCATCTCTGTGCTTTCTTTCATTGAAATTGTTTTCCATTTAGAGGGGGAGACCAGACCAACATGAAATGGGGGGGAGGGGGGAAATAAAAAATAAGAACAACAACAGTGGCAGTGCAAGCATATTCGGTTTGCTTCACTATTCTTCTTATTCCCCAACCCAAATTTGGAGTTTATATCATCCGGTGTTCAGTTTTCATCTATTTCAGTGTAAATGGCAAAGCTCCTTATACAATGTAGTACACATTATCACTCACACATACACACACAAACATACACACATTAGTAGGCCTGGTAATGCTGGAGCTAGAGCTGATCTGAAGACTGCGGCGTATCCATGATGCCATGATGGTCCAGCATCAGAGTTCAGCGCAGAATGAGCACAAGCAGTCCCAGAATACTAGAGAGAAAGAAATGTGTATGATGAGAGTGTCCCCAGTTGGTGGCTTGCTGGACCCCACTAGGGGGACGCACAGAGGTCCGGGGGGTACATTTGTGCTTTCTGCGGGTGTTTGAACCATCAGAAGATGTTTCATCATATTTCCCTGTGAAATCGGGAGAGGAGTATTCCTTATCTGCCATCTCCTTTAAGGTGTGGACCTCGTTAGGTCCTTTTCCCTTGCTGCCCCTGACACGTTGGCGTGTGCAGTTCCGAGAGCGGCCGGGCCTCTGAGCAGGGACTATGCCCAGAGACCCTCCCGTTCCTGCTTGGACACCATTTATGGCAGGGGGTGGCTGGGGCAGGGGAGAGGGAGGGGAAGGGTATTGTTCATTCAGTTGGGGGTGGTGTGGGTGCGTTTGTGGAGGCTGGGCAGGATGGGGGTCCTGCTTCAGTGAGACCTTATCTGTTCCTGCCCAAGTCTTGGTCTTACTCTGGTGCAGGGACTCAGATCCGGAACAATTCGGGAAGTCCTCGTTCTTCAGTTGCTTCAGATCTTTGCCTGCCAGTTCTGCCGGTGCCATGCAACCCACTGACGATGTGGACCCCCGAAACTTTTTGAGCCAGTCCCACAGTGATAAAGCCTTACAGTCACACTCCCAAGGGTTGTCATTGAGGCGAAGGTACTCCAGTGCAGGCAGCTGGGTGAGACACTCTCCAGCTAGCTCTGTCAAGGAGTTGTTGAACAAATAGAGGGTAGTAAGCCGCTGCAGGTCGTGGAATGCCAGGCGGTCCACCCACTGAAGTTGGTTGTGGTGCAGTAGCAGCCGGTCCAAAGCCCCCAGTCCTCTAAATGTATTTTGGTGCAGGCTCCACAGACGGTTCCCGTGAAGAAACAGGTGGCTCAAGTTGTGTATGTCCACAAAAAGATCATCCTGCAGATACTCCAAATGGTTGTCCTTTAGACACAGAAATAAAATATTGGTTATATTTTTCTACTACTGCGATAGTACAATATGCAACCAGTGCCATTTTATTTTGTTACACAAGCAGTTATGTGAGTGTCTCACCTGCAAGTACAGATACTGGAGGTTGCGGAGACCCTGGAAGATGTTATTCGGCAGTGCACTGAGGCCACAGCGGTATAGATGGAGGGCATGGAGCCGGCCCAGCCCGTGAAAGGTTTCTGCAGACAGTGAACGTAGGTGGCGATTGTCTCCCAGGTCCAATTCCTCCAGCAAGGTGAACCCTTGGAAAGTAGTTGGTTCGATATATGTGATATTGTTGGAGTAAATCCACAGAGTGACCGTGGTAGGGCTAAAGTGGCCCCGTAGTAGACGATGGATCTTGTTGTTTTGGAGGAAGATGCGCTCACTGTGTGGAGGAATGCCTTCCGGGACGGACAGGAAGTTGTGGGCTTGGCAGCTGACGGTGCTGGGGGCCATGTAGCAAATGCAGTGACGTGGGCAGGACCAGGAGAGCTCCAGCCCACAGAGTACCAGCAGGAACTCCAGCCCACAGCCTAGAAAGATATGGAGAGAGAAAGAGACAGACTTAGTATTTGCTATGTTAAAACTAAATTTGTAAGTCATAAATTCTGTATTGTAAAGAAATTTGCTGTTTGTTCTTCGAGAAAGTTTATCCATAATTACCCCCAGATCTGTTAAAACCTGTGAAAGACAAATAAGTTTGGGTGTCTCATTAAATGTAGACACTATATTTTGAGACTTTTTCATCCCCATATTTTGTGGATGAATTTAAAGTTTTTTGTAAAAATGGCCATTTAAAATGAATGATAATGCTGAATGATATTGAGTATAATATCAAGTAAGAGCAGCACATTTCTGGTTTGTTGACAAACAGGGTATTCGAGCCTTAATGATGGGTCTGTAGGGATACCCAGTACAAAAAATGTTGGGAAACACTGTGATAGAGCTAGATCATAATGCAAGAATATATCGAAGAAAACTTAGTAAACATCTTGGTAAAACTTGTACAATTTGCTTTTGTAAGCGTTTCTTTAAATCATTAATAAATAAATCAATATAGAATCTTTACTGAAGAATTATATATGGAAGTTTAACGTTTTAAGACTACTAATGTAATATGAATTATATACATTTTCATAGTTGTACCGAGCTGTTGATTGCTGTTCAGTGGATACTGTCTTCACATAAAGATCAAACATCAAGACTGATGTCATCATCATCATCATGTTGACACAAGCTCAGCGTCAATAGTATCTGCAAGATGCGCATGCCTCAAGGTAAACAATGTCATATATACATATGCAGTATGTATATATAGAGGCCAGACATGTAACATGATAATTACACACCATTTCACTGATGTGTCCTCTCATGTCTGGCACATCAAATTGTGTTTTCTATAGATGCTCAGTGCTTTATACTCATGGTGGTAATCAAGACCAGGTTTGTATGTGTTTTGTTTGTTTCCCTCAGGCTCTTTTAAAGAAATAGTTCAGCCAAAAATGAAAATTGTCATGATTTACTCATCTTAATGTTGTTCCAAACCTGTATAATCTGTACAGTTTTTCTCATTGAATGTGGAACATAAAAGAAATATTTTGAAGAACGTTGGGGTCTGAACTAAAATGGGCGATACTGAGTTTCATGGTATATATAAAAAAAGACATTTAGACATAATTCAGAATATCGTCTTTTGTTTTCCACAGAAGAAAGGTTTAAAATGACATGAGGGTGACTATATGACAGAATTTTTGTTTTTGAGAAGACTATCCCATTAACTCACTTAACCACCTGGACTTCCTTGGTCAACCATTTTCTTCTGAAATACTATATCAAATTTGGTTGAAGATCATTTGGTCAAAGATGGTCTTTTCAGCAGTGATAATTGTGACTTTCAATTAAATAAGGTCTGCCCTATGAAACTAAGCCCCCTTTGAAAAGGAAATAAACAATGACGAGAAAATAGAATCACTTCTGAGCTCTTCAGGGAAGCAGCAAAATCTGGTATTTTACGAGTATTTATTCTGTCCGTGTGTGTATAAGACGGGCTCACCCTGCTTCTGCTGAGACTGATCCCAGAGCCTACCAACAACCTCTTGAGTGCTTAGTTAAACCTGTGTTAAGCCTCTGAGAGGCATACAATACCCCTGCTGCTTTCTGACATGCTTCTTTGGAGCCATTTTATGTAACATATCCACCAGTTCATCTACATACAGAATGTCAGGGAAGGAGAATATTTTCCACTATTATAAGAGTTTTACTATTATAAGAGTCCCATTTGCGCATGAACGGCAGCTTTCCCCCTGCCCTCCTTTTCAAAAATGCATTATTCAAAGCATCATTTCTGTCATTCACTCAAAATTGATTCACTTCCGCTGCCTCTTAACATCACCATAATCCTCTAGGTTTCTGCCTTCAAAATACAGAGGCAGGAATTACGCTTTTACAGGAGATGAGCGGATATTTTTTGGAATAGCTGTCGACTCCAAATGTGCTAAGCTGTGGCATTCAGACGCAAACTCCGCTGACCTTTAGCAATGATTCCCTGGGTGTCTGATGACAGCGCCCGAGCAGCTTACCTCACCTGCGCATGAGCCTCGCGCTCAGAGTGGCCGTGTAATCCCATTTGTCCTAACAGCATGCCAAAATTAAATATGTCCTCACCAACAGACTAAATAAGCAACCGGAACCCTTCCGGAAGCATCCGGAACCCTCCCCCCATGGGCCTTGCACATGTGTGTGTGGGATTAACAAAAAAACTGTTGTTGTTCTTGTAATGTCGGTCAGCTACCATAAACCGTAACCTCGAGACAGAAATACATATTACTCTACCGTTGCACATATGCTAGTCTGTTTTTAGCAAAACTTGCAGGATATAAGCCTGGATATGGTACAAAACTGTATTTAGCAAAGATGGCAAACATTTCAAAATATGACACTCTTTACACAAACCGCCCAATGAGGATGGCAAAGTTCTGGGGTCTTTTCAGGGTATCGAGCATAAGGGATTATAGCGCCCATACACTATCTCCACTCTAAAGCAGACAACGTTAACTGATGATGTCTGGTTCACAAGCCTTAAACAACCCTTAAACAACCTCAGTGCTGTGTGTTCAGATAGACTGCATGTACAGCTGTGGGTTTAAGAATTACCTAGCTGAGATGAACAGCTCAAAAGATAGATTGTAATAAACTCCTCAATATTTAAAAGATCTAAAATAATGAGATGTGTAGTAAACATGGATCGGATCAGCCAGCAGTTAACATCACTACTAACAGGCGCTCAAGGTCGAGCAGACAGCGGCTTTCAGCTCAGAGCACAGCCGAACCCAGGACTCTGATAGTGGACGACTCCATTATCAGAAACATCAGTAGCAGAAATTCAACAACATGCTGCTTTCCTCAAGCAACAGTTTCTGAT